GCCTGTGGCTTCCTTTGGGTATTGGGACATCTATGTTGGGACACAAAACAAATTTTCCCCTGTCCTTGAAATTCTGGGTGCTGGTGGCAATATTTCCGTTTTTGCTAGAACACAATTTTCTTGGATCCACAGATCTGATTATTCATTTTAGGGATAGTCCCTGTTTTAGACCCATATAAACTTGAATATGAACACTTTCTATGAAGTATAAGATACATGCAGGAGGGACCAGCAGATGGCATAATGGCTATGTCGCTGGACTCCCATGTAGTTGACCACGGTTTGAGTCCTGGACCTGGTGACTCAAATTCATGCCAGGCACATATGCATGCGTGCCCAAGATCCTGAGAGGAAAATAGAGGAGAAGGGATTGTGGTGTGGCCATCCCTCCTTGGGGGTGATTTCTTCCTTTCTGTCTTTCTCTCTGTCTTTCTGGTGAGTGCACGCACCCTATGGCAAAAACCTCTCAAAACCCCTCCAAAAAAAAAAAAAAAAAGATACATGAAGGAAAGTTTACAAATTTTGAGTGTAGAACTTGGTATACAGTGTGATAACCAGTCTTCGCATTGAGAAGAATATGCACCCCCAGCCCATATCCCCAGGGAATCCCTACTGGAACACAAGAAGGACACTTACAGTTTTGCATTTGGGTATTGGGAATAAGCCTTCAGTAAATGTTTCCAAAGGAAGAACTGGAACCAAAACGGTCTAAGTCACAGGAGAACGTGTGTTGGGAGTTGTCTGAGCCTTCCTGAGCAGGTGCTCTCTGGGGCTAGGGCCATGGCACTAGGTCTGTTAATAGCCGTGTGTGCCTGGTCTTGCTGCAGAAACTCACCGAGATCATCCCCAAGTCGGCTGTCGGGGAGCTGTCCGAGGATTCCAGCAACGTGGTACAGCTCATCAAGAATGCCTACAATGTGAGTGCCCCATGGCAGTCACCAGGTGGGGGCTGCCCAGAATCCACCATGCTGGCTGGCAAGACTGCCCTCCCACTACAGGTTATAGAAGGGTGGCCAACAGAGGAGAGCCCCTGCCTTGGCAGGACCCAAAAGCCTTTTGCAGCCCCTGTGGGGCCCCCTCATGCCCTCCAGACACACTGACCTGGCCACCTTGCACAGGGCAGCTTCAAGTCCTCTCTTGCTGAAGATGTGCTACTCAGACCCTGCTTGGGCACACCTAGAACATGAGCCCCAGGCTCTCCATCAGGTTCTTCTCTGTGGGCTCATGGAGAAGTGGGGACTGGGTGGCTGGGGAACAGATTATGTACCTGGGATGAGGGAGGAGGCCCCAGAAACCACCATGGTGGATGGGGCCCTACAAATAAACCCAGAGTGCACTGTCTTGTGATTAAGCTCCCAACCAGGCCCTGGGCGCAACCTTCAGGGGCCCTGCTCATCCTCTCCCTTCCTGGAATGCTAACCCAGGGCTGCTCTCTGTGGGCATGGGTGTGACCAGGTGCTGCTCTGAGTTCCCCAGGCAGCAGGTCCCTACACTCTGGCAATCAACCCCAACTGAGAGTCAGGCCTAAAATTCCTCCAGGGCAGCTGTCCTGATGGCTTGACAACATGTTGGGGCATCTGATAAACACTGTCAATGTTAAACCAGAGCCCTGTGACAAGGTTCAAATGGTCCCTTGTAGCCTCTTGTTAGCCCCAAGTCCCCAAAGCAGGGCCCCTGCACTCATCGCTGTGGGTCCGAGATTCCGTCTTTACCTGGAGGACCTGTGAGAGGCCCCCACTGTGGGCTCGCTCAGCTCGTGTTGCTCTCTCTGTCTCTCTCTCCATCTCTGTCTCTCACCACTTCTACATGCAGCCCAGCTCCCACCCCCAGACACTGTGCACTCAGTGGGGAGGGGAGCAGTTCAAGCCCTTCTCATGGGGTTGACCCATGACAGTTGGCCTGTCCTGGGGGCAGGGTCGCCTCTCCCTGTCACACCCTTCTGAGCCCCTAGAAGACTTGGTTGTCCTCCCTTCATACTGGAGAGGGGAGGGAATGAGAAATGCAGATGGGTCCAAACCACAAGGGCAGCAGATGACACATCCCCAAGCCTGGCTGCTCTCTGCCCAACTCTCCTCTCCTCCAGGGTCTTTCTGGACCACAACACCCTCCCCGACAACCTGAAGGTGACCTACGACTCCTTCTGCAGCAACGGGGTGTCCCTCATGAACCAGCCCAGAGGGGACTGTGATGGTGTGCAGATCAACGTCCCGGTGAGTGACCGAGGGTGTCCATCCCAGCTTGGGAAGGGCCAGCCAGATGGAAGGTGCATCCGGGCAAGCTGAGGCCTCTGGGGGACAAGCAGGACAGGGAGTGGCCAGCATCCCCCATCCAGGCCAGTTCATGTAGGTTCATGTCCTCAGTGTCAGGGAGAGGGTCCGCAAGGACACACGCCCTCCTTGGCCCTTGGTGTCTTATTTCACAATGCAAGAGAGGGGCACCCAAGTCCCAAAGTGGGCCCAGCATGGGACACAGACCAGCAATGACAGTGCCCCCAGGCCAGAGCTGGACATGCCCAATAGGGACAAGATAAGTCTGGCTTGTTCTAGTTTCCTAATTTTTTTGTTACCCATTAAGGCATGGGCCACAAGGTGCCAGAAATAGTATTTTAGATTTAAATGTATTATTTAGGACTGGCTCCATGTGGTTAAGGGAGGTGGATTCCAGGTGGCCAACTACACTTCAAGTCCTGGGCAGAGGGCTGAAAAACACCAGAGACATGTGTCATAAATCCTCACAGGTTGGAGAGAGGGAGGAGAAGGGACTATGGCATGACCATGCCCCATTGGGGAGTGCTTCCTCTCTCTGCCTCTAACTTTTTTTCTTTGGTAAAAGCAAATACACCCTGTGGCAATTTTAAAAATACTTGCTTTTAATGCATCTTAAATATCATGTTAGGTATTCCTTCAAAAGTATTACGTACTAAATATTGCGTGTGAATTTTTACAAAAATATTTTCCCGGGACCAGTAGTTGGCATAATGGCTATGTTGCTGGACTCCCACGTAGTCGACTGTGGTTCGAGTCCCGGACCCAGTGGCTTAAACTCACGCCGGGCGCGTGTGCGTGCATGCCCAAAATCCCGAGAGAAGAATGGAGGAGAAGGGATTGCGGCGTGGCCATACCCCCAGGGGGTGATTTCTCACTTTCTATCTCTCTGTCTGACGAGCACACGCACCCTATAGCAAAAACCTCTCAAAAAAAAATATATTTTCCCACATTCAGGTGACCTATATGGAAATTATACTTACTTTTTTTTTTGGGGGGGGAGGTTTTTGCTATAGGACATGTGCACTTGTCAGAAAGCCAGAAAGAAATAGAGAGACAGAAAGCGAGAAATCACCCCCTAGGGGAGATGGCCATGCAGCAATCCTTTCCCCTCCATTCTCCTCTCAGGATCTTGGTCACGCACACACACACACCCAGAGTGAGTTTAAGCCCCTGGGTCCGGGACTTGAACCATGGTCGACTACATGGGAGTCCAGTGACATAGCCACTATGCCAACTGCTCGTCCCAGGAATTATACTTAACTCTAATTTGCTGATTGCTTGCTACACATTTTTACAGACATTTCCGCTCTCTCTTAATGTACTGTGTGGGAGTTCATTTAAACTTATTTTGGACATGGCTTGATTTTGACAAAGCAGTGCTCCCTGAAGCCAGTGGGGGCAGCCGTTTTACTCCTGCCCCTTGCAACAGGATTTCGCTTTGCCTGTTGTTGACTGTACATAGCCTTCACTGTCACCGCATGGCTTCTGAGCTGTGACCTTCACCTCTACGCAGAGTCAGGATATAACCCCATGCACAGGATTGAGCACTGTCCATGGGATTCCAGCATCTCATATCCTGGACTTAGGGACAAAATATGTGGCAAGTCATTCCCTACAAAGTCACTTTAGAATCCTTCATTGCATAGGTAATAAGAAGTATTCTAAAGACATTGTCCTGCCTTGTCAAAGCCTCCAGGAGACCCTTGGTGCTGACTGGGGCTACGAGTGCTGGCAGAGCCCACTGGTCCTGCTGCGGCCTTCTGCATCAGCCTGCAGATCCTGAGCTCAGCTCTCACTCCTCCTTATCCCGGGAGTGCTCCAGGATAGCCCCTCCTGTCCATTTCATCTGCTCCCTCCCAGGGCCTGGCAGAGGCCAGCGCCCTCCATCCCAGAAAGCCCCCATGACTATGTAGGCCAGGCAAGAGAACAGGAGCAGGGTCTTGACACCAGTCACTGGAGCATCCACACCTGAGACTTCTCTCCCCCACAGATCACTTTCCAGGTGAAGGTCACAGCCACAGAGTGCATCCAGGAGCAGTCCTTCACCATCCGGCCGCTGGGCTTCACGGACACAGTGACCGTGCGGGTCCTTCCCCAGTGTGAGTGCCAGTGTCGGGACCAGAGCCAGGACCGCAGCCTCTGCAGTGGCAAGGGCTCCCTGGAGTGTGGTATCTGCAGGTGAGGCAGGTGCAGGCCCACGGCACCCACCCTACCCCACAGGGCAGGTGTCAGCAGGCAAGGCAGGTTTGGGTGGCCCATGGCACCCCCACCTCATGGGGTAGGTGTCTGCAGGTGAGGTAGCCACGGCATCCACTCTCACCTCACAGGGTAGTGTCTGCAGGTGAAGTGGGTGTAGATAGTCCACGAGACTCATTCCCACTACACTGGACACTTGAAGGTGCAGCAAGTGCAAGTGGTACCCAACCCCAGACTGCAGTGCAGGTAGTCAAGCCCCAGGCACCATCATGCAGAGGGAAGTGGAGGGGAATGAAGGTTTGAACCCAGAGCCCCTCCCCAAGCCCTTGCCCTTGCCCTGGCTCTGACCCAGGGTATCTTCAACAACACCAACCTGTGCTCCCCATTGTCTGGCCATGGAATGCCCAAGGCAGGGGGCCTGGCACGCAGGAGATGGAGACCCACCTCAGGAGTGCGAGGAGCTGCACGGGAGGTGCTGTGGCCTGGGGCAGGCCACTCTGTCTGCCTCACTTGTTTCCTATGGGCCTGCCTCTCTGACCTCGGGGACCCAGGACCATCAGGCCAGGATGTCCAGGACATCACATAGCCAGAGTGCCTCCCAGGAGGGGTGGCCACTAGAGCCTGGACCCTTTAAGCCACTGCCTGGATATGCGTATGTGCGTGCGTGTGCACACATACACACATGCCATGGCCCCTGTGGCCCACGCCCCCCTCCAGCAGAAGGGAGGGGACACTGTGCCCCACAGGGAGGCCTCATGCCTGGGCTAGGGTGTTCCAGCTTTGACCCACAGAGGCACTGTCCCCTTTCAGGGACGTCCTCCTCCCATCACTGCCCCTCCAGCTCCTGGCACCACTCCACCGTAAGGTCCTGTCTGGGGCCTCGGCCCCTCAGACGTCAGAGGTGAGGCTGTTCACCAGAGTCCGTGGAGCACTCCTGTTCCCACGACCTCCTCTGATCCCTGCTGTTCCAAAACATGCGCTCCCTCCCACGGGGCTGGGTGCCCACCTGCCACACTCAGCCCTCAGCACAGCCCCTGAGGGGCAGCCACGCAGAACCGTACCCCCTTAAATGGCCGCTCCCTTCTGGGCGATGGGAACCGAGGCCCAGAGATGCAGGATTTGGGGGAGAGGCTCCCCGATGACCTTCACATCTCCTGAGGCCACCAGCTTGCCCTGTCCCAGGACACCAGAGCTCGGTTAGTAACTCTACATACCCTCAGCCCCCACCAGGCCCTGCCAGGCTGCCCACCCTATCCCTCTGTCCCCTCGTTCCATGCCCCATCTCCCAGAGCCCAGAGCCACAGCCCCTTGGCCAGGGCTGCTGGGCCACCCCAGGATCTGCCCTGCGTGCCGCCACCACTGTCTCCCCTCCTGACTGCTTCGCCAGTCCATCCCTGGTCACCGTGCTGTCCCCAGCCCTCGGCCTCCCTGCTGCTCCCCTCCTCACCACAGCTCTGTGACTGTGATGGGCTCTGTGGCTGGGCGCCCCTGCGTGAGCTGCCCTGGGGCACGCTCCATGTGGGCTGTGAGGAAGACTCTGAGCACGCACTGGGCCATTGGTCAGCGCCTGGGGCATGTGAGAGCAGACACCAGCCATCAGCGACAGGCTGGCTTTCCCAGCACGGGCCATCCGCAGTGTGCACGACGCAGCTCTGTGATGAGCCAGCGGGGCTCTGTACCCAGGCTGAGGCCACGAGTCTGCCTTTGCTCTCAGGGTCGCCCTCTGGACGGGTCGGCCCTCTCCCATCTGGATGCCCAGAGCCTGCCACCCACTTAGCACAGAAGTGCTCGGTAGGCCCTGGAGGGAGCGAAGGCCAGATGCGATGCAGGTGCTTTCCACCAAGGACAAGGGGCCTGCAGGAAAGGGCTGTCCTGAGCCGCAGGTCAGGCCTGACTGGAAGGCCCTCCCGCCCCAGGTGCGACGCCGGCTACATCGGGAAAAACTGTGAGTGCCAGACGCAGGGCCGCAGCAGCCAGGAGCTGGAAGGGAGCTGCCGGAAGGACAACAACTCCATCATCTGCTCAGGGCTGGGGGACTGCATCTGCGGGCAGTGTGTGTGCCATGCCAGCGACGTCCCCAACAAGCAGATCTTCGGGCAGTACTGCGAGTGCGACAACGTCAACTGTGAGCGCTACGACGGCCAAGTCTGTGGTGGCGAGAGTGAGTGGCCGCGTTCCCACCTTGACACGGCCTGACGTCAGGGCACGGACCCGACTATTGCTGGGGCTTTATTGTCTGTTTGCTCCCCTCCCCCATCCCGGAGAGCAGCAAGTGGGGACAGTGGGTGTTGGGAACAGACAGCCAGGCGTGGGCTCACTCGGCCACTCAGTGGTGGCAGGCCCTTCTCAGTTTCTGCCTCCAGGGGGTGAGGCATCCTGGGGGTGGGGGAGGGACGACACCAGGGCAACTGTCACAGCTCGTTAGCCTGTTAGGTCCCATTCGCAGGTGGGCATGCCGAGGCCCACACTGGCCAGTGTGGACATGTCGCTGGTGGGGGACAGCAGGGCTTGGGCATGGTCCCCAGTGCCCTTTGCTCAGGCACACGCCTTCAGAAGAGCAGCCCCACCAAGGCCAGGGTGGGGGGGTTGCAGGAGGAAGCTGCGGAGGCAGGACAGTCAGGGCCCAGGAGGTGCTGGGATGGCCGCAGCTAGGGGATGACAGAGGAGGGAGCGGCCGTGTGGGTGGGGCTTCAGGGCAGGGTGCCATCTGCTGTCTTCAGAGAGGGGGCGCTGTTCCTGCGGCAAGTGCTACTGTGCGGAGGGCTACGACGGCTCGGCCTGCCAGTGCCAGAAGTCCACCGAGGGCTGCCTGAACCAGAGGCGTGTGGAGTGCAGTGGCCGTGGCCGGTGCCTCTGCAACGTGTGCGAGTGTGAAGATGGCTACCAGCCGCCCCTGTGCCAGGAGTGCCCCGGCTGCCCCTCACCCTGCGGCCGCTATGTGTGGGTACACAGGGCCCACAGAGTCATTGCTGCACCGGGGCCTGACCTTACTGCCAGCCTCCCCTGGGAACCCCAGCCAACACCTACTGCCCCACAGAGCCCCCTCTGTGCCCATCTGCCTTCCCCTTTCACTCCCCCTTTCGTTGGAGCACCTATGCAGGGTGAGGGAGGCCTGCGTAGTAGGGGATCTTAGTCCTGTTGATTCTCTTGGACCCCCTGGATCAGACTCTATTCCCTCCCCTCCATCCCTTCCCCTGCCCTCCTCCTGAAGCTCTGCCCTCCCACCCGGCCTGCTCCCCGACTCACTTCCCAGCTGTCTCTTGGCTATAAGGGCATGTAGGGTCCCCAACATGGGCCCCAACTAATGTGTACACACTCAAGACCCTGGTCTGGGTGCACCCCCACCCACTCCATCGACCTCCCAGTCCCTTCCCACACCACACAAATACACCCACTCTGCCCTCACCTCCTCTGCAGCTCTTGTGCTGAGTGCCTGAAATTTGACAAGGGCCCCTTTGGGAAGAACTGCAGTGCCCAATGTCGGAACCTGCACCTGCTGGACAGCCCCATAAGGGGCAAGACATGCAAGGAGCGGGACTCGGAGGGCTGCTGGATGACCTACACACTGCGGCAGCTGGATGGGAAGGACAGATACGAAGTCCACGTAGATGAGAACCGAGGTGAGGCCGACAGTGCAGATTCGGGGCAGGTGGGACATGGAGACAAGAATTCTGACCACTAAGACTGCACTCTCTTACACAGGACAAGGTGGCCCTATGGGATGTCCCTGTCTCTTACTTGCCCCTCCACGTCCTCCTCGCCATTTTGCTGGACTAAGTGCTGCACAGTGACCACTGCACTGTGGACCAGGCAAGACAGGAGGGGCTGATACTCATGTGGGTGTGCTTCCTCCTTAGAGTGTGTGGAAGGCCCCAATATCGCTGCCATCGTAGGGGGCACTGTTGCTGGTGTGGTGCTGATTGGTGTCCTCCTCCTGGTCATCTGGAAAGCCCTGACACACCTGAGTGACCTCCGGGAGTACAAGCGCTTTGAGAAGGAGAAGCTCAAGTCCCAGTGGAACAATGTAAGTGGCAGTCCTTGGCGGTCCCAAGGGGAAGGGCACACGCTCCTGTTGGCCTTACCCTCTGGCTGTGCTCCCTACCCTCCCCCACCGGCTGGTCCTCTACACTGCTGCAGGCTAGCCTGGGCGCTTTGGCCAGAATCCTGGGAAGGCCAACACCCTGCAAAATGACCTGGTGGCCTTGGGGAGAGTCTGCTCCGAAAACCTCTCACACTAACAAGCCTATGCCTGTACTTCTTACCAGGATAACCCCCTTTTTAAGAGTGCTACCACAACAGTCATGAATCCTAAGTTTGCTGAGAGTTAGGAGCACTTGGTGAAGACAAGACCATCTGGACCAACCAGCTGGGACCCCTCGAAGTATCTTCCCCATCATGCAATAGTGACATGGCTTAAACTCCTGACAGCATCTCCAGCTAGTCAAAATCCCACTGTTTTTCTGCCCTCCAAATGACAGATATGGCCCCAATGGAAGGACTGGCCTCCCCCTTCTGGCCTGTACACACTTTCTGTAGAGACTTGAGCAAGGATGGCTGAAGTATGATAAGGTTTGATGCATGTTTTCTGTGTAAAATTTGGAGAGCAGTCTGATGAGAAGTGGCACGGATATATTTATATTCAGACTCATTGGGATATAAAACTATGCAACACTGATTAAATTTAACCAGTCATGTGTTTAAAAAATAAATAAAATGTCTACACAAGCTGTTAACGGAGCCCAGGTTCTACAGCCGCGGTGCCCCCCACCCTCCTGAACAAGGTAGGCTGAACACCAGCAGGTTTTGTCATACCGGCCGAGAGTATAAACTGACTTCAGACCATGGGATGGGGTTACCTTTCTCTGCTCCTCCTCACCTTTTGACCTGTTACATGTACAGCCCCTCTGCAAGCCTTGTGGTCCCCAATCCTAGCAGGTTTCCAGAGACAGTGTGGTGACTCCACAGGAGGGGGCCTGGGAAGTGAGCATCTCTCCCCTCCCCACCCACCACACCTGCCCACCAGTGCACACCTGCTCTTCGGAGAATGCATGGCAGCCAGAACGCAAGCTAAGAAGGAAGTTTAAGAAGAAGTTTATCCCTCCCAGGTTGTTTTCTGGGGTGACTCAGAAGTCATTGTTGATCCCATGTAATGCAATCAGTGAATGAGCCTAGGTCATAATTATGGTAGGTGCCATCATCCAATGGTGAGGACCCAGACATAGGAATGTCCACCATCAGGTGTGCCAACCCACGGAAACAGCTGCAGCCAGCCTTAATGTGGAACAGGGCCTGGGAGTGGCAGTGAGAGCCCTTAGGGTGGGAAGATCCAGGGTCCCCAGGGGAAGGGCTATCTCTAACATTTTCTACATTTTCTGCAAACAAAGGCAGAGGAGAGAGGAGATCCTGGTAGAGGAATGAGCCCCTGGGGAGGCCCTAGCCCAAGGACCTGACTATCTGTGTGATCTTGAACCAGTTATATTTTGTCTTATTGAAGGTATAGGAGAAAGGATCACTAAAGCTCTGTCCCTGGGAAGATGGAGGTACTGGCCTATGAAGTGCTTTGAGATTTGTGACTATCTAAAGGGATAAGTGATCAGTTTTCTGTCTTTTGGTGAAAGACAAATTCATGAGCCCAAGAATCCTCACATGGCATAGACCAGCTTCAAAAATTATGTTGCTAGCCATATTTCTATTTTTTTTGAGAGTTTTTCACTATAGGGCGTGTGCGCTCGCCAGACAGACAGAGAGAGACATAGAGACAGAAAGCGAAAAATCACCCCTCGGGGGGACGGCCACGCCGCAATCCCTTCTCCTCCATTCTCCTCTCGAGATCTTGGGCACTCACGCACATGTGCCCGGCGTGAGTTTTAAGCCACCAGTCCAGGACGCGAACCGTGGTCAACTACGTGGGTGTCCAGCGACATGGCCATTACGCTAACTGCTGGTTCCCTTGCTAGCCATATTTCCAGTCATTTCAGAGCCACCCCACACCTCAGGGGTGTATGTTCTACATTCCACGTTATCTCCTTATCCAGCTATGGAAAGTGGGCTGTGCTTCTGGGCGTGGTAGCCTCTCTTCTTCCCTCTGTGCCTCCCTCTGTCCCAGTCCTGCTGACCCCTGCCTGCCTAAGGCTCCCGCAGACCCCAGGCCCCCCACCTTTCCAGCTTCCCTCAGATGCTGCACACGGCAGCCCTAGGACATTGAACGTTCCCTTTGTATCCTCCTCCCCTCAAATGGTACTGATCATGGTTTAATGTGTTACTGGCCTGGGCAGAAAGTTCTCTTTTCATGCAGTGTCTGGAAGTAATTCTTTAACCTGCTAAGGAATGTACTTATACTGATGAAAAAATCAGACTGCACAATCAACCACCAGATAAAAAGTCGTGAAAATCCCCAGCAGGTGACTCCCACATGCATAGTTCCAGGTTGGGGCCCTGGAATTCCAGAGCCACGGGGTCTTTGGGCCCCAGCCTACAACGGCTGGTCTGTGCCTGTGGGCATTCTTCCCACAGGGCTCTAGATCTGCCAACCATTTCTCAGAAGTTGTCACCATTGTGATAGTGTCAGTTTAACTCCATAACCATCATTCTTCTTGGAAAAACATGCATTTTTAATTCTATGTAGCCCTATGTAATCATTCAGTTCCTTTATACTTTCAGTATAATGTGACATTTGGGTCATCTCGAAAGCTCGAAGCTCTTTGACAATATGTTTGTGTGAACTCCCACCATGTGAAGTTATAGAATACTTTTAAATTTTGATTTCTGTGTAGGTAAAACAGATTTTTTTGAACTTCAGTGTTATCAGTTTGTCCTAATACTCAGTGCTATTTAAAAATGTCATTGGTAATGGCACTGTTCAAAATGCAGTAGTGTTTGCCGTGTCTTGGTTAATGTTTACAAGTGCCCAAGTCCTTCTGCTATCATTAATTAGTATTGTGTAGTTGCTTTGTAAGATCGAAGTATGTTTGTTTTGGGATATAGTTCAAATCCTAGACTTGTGTTTACTGTTTCTCCAGTAGCTTTTTTTAAATAAATTTTTTGGAGAGGTTTTTGCTATAGGGCACTTGTGCTCGCCAGAAAGACAGAGAGAGAAAGAAAACGAGAAATCACCCCCCAGGGGGGGGATGGTCACACCACAATCCCTTCTCCTTCATTCTCCTCTTGGGATCTTGGGCATGCACACACACCAAAATGCAGTAGTGTTTGCCGTGTCTTGGTTAATGTTTACAAGTGCCCAAGTCCTTCTGCTATCATTAATTAGTATTGTGTAGTTGCTTTGTAAGATCGAAGTATGTTTGTTTTGGGATATAGTTCAAATCCTAGACTTGTGTTTACTGTTTCTCCAGTAGCTTTTTTTAAATAAATTTTTTGGAGAGGTTTTTGCTATAGGGCACTTGTGCTCGCCAGAAAGACAGAGAGAGACAGAAAACGAGAAATCACCCCCCAGGGGGGATGGTCACACCACAATCCCTTCTCCTTCATTCTCCTCTTGGGATCTTGGGCATGCACACACACGTGCCCGGCGTGAGCTGAAGCCACTGGGTCCGGGACTTGAACTGAGGTCGACTATATGGGAGTCCAACGACATAGCCATTATGTCAAATGCTGGTCCCTCCAGTAGCTTTTAAACATACTTTTATATAAACATACAATGCCAATGAAGATGTGAAATAGTTGAGCTGGAAAATATGGGTCAGAACATGATTTATTGCAGTTCAGGGCCTTTTGTGGTGACACGTGGACAGGAAAGAACTTTACTGCTTTAGGATGAGCAGGATCAGAGTTGAAGACATGCTGTTAAAGATTTGCCACGTGCACTATCCGCTGACAACCTGTTGTCTTTGTGCAAGGGATTCATGTGTAGGCTCTGGTGAACAAAACCCAGTGGACTCCGCCCAACACCATGGGACCTGTGTTATCTCAGGTCTGCTGTAAAGGGGAAGAGCAGGGAGGGTGACATCGGGCTGAGACCTATGCCCCCCCAGTGGTGTCTATACATTATCTTGTGATCTTGGTGTCCTTTTTCAGCTGTAAGGTGAATGCAGCCACTGAAGTTCATTGATGCTGAGTAACTAGACTGAGGTCCCACAAGTAGGAACTGGTGGAGTTGGGACTTGAGTCTGATCTACCAGTTTCCTAGCAGCGCCTGGTGAACCATTTCTCTGGCCTGAGACCTTGGGTGGTTGGCACCCCTCTGATTTTCCATAAGCACACGGACGGGTTCCAGGACATGCTGCCTTCATTGCTTACACATCAGGAAGGCACACTGTAACTGATAGCACCCTCCTGCCCAGAAAAGTGCTGTCTACGCTAACCCTGGGCTGGAGGGCGGGTTACATTTGAACCATGTTGGAGTGTTCTCAGGGATAGGAAGTATGGACAACTTCATAGGCCACAGAGCTGAATCCTGGCATGCCAGAACAATGGGTGGGGGTCAAGCCACTAACCCCAGCCTGGTGTTCACTGCAGTGATTCCTCTGTCCATTGAGGAAGCTGTGGGACAGCAAGCAAACATAACCCAGGAAATGATGTCAGACCTTGAAGATCAAAGATGGCAGACATCATTAGTTGATCCTAACCACTTCTACTGAGACCAGATGGTCCAGACAACCACACATGATAGATCTCATTACAGGGATCCTAGCATAGGGGATGTTTCCTCCTGTTTCCCTGAACAACCCCCAAATCCCCCACTCTACTACATCTATGGAAACCTAGTCTTAAAAAGGAAGAAACTGAACCCCTATTAAGTAATTTTGTTATTTCTTTTTTCAGAAACATTTTGTTACCGCCAGAGTGCATGAGTATTCACCTGAGAGAGAATGCGCCTTTCAGTGGGGTATGGACATACCATAACCCATTTCCTCCATTCCTCCTAACAGTCAGGGTTTGGGGCATGCATGCACACACACACACTCAGCATGTTTTTCAAGCCTCTAGGACCAGAATTTGAATCACGGCCAGCCATATGGGCTCTGGCTCCCTTAACCACTAGGTTTCCAGGCCAGCCCCAGGCATGCATTTTTTTTTTTTTTTTTTTGTTTAAGGGGGGGTGGGTCACCCCACCAC